GCTCTGCCCTGGCACGGACAGCCTGCCTGGCTCTCGCCTCCTCCGCCCTTCCGTGCAGGATCGGACCCCAGAGCAGCTCCCGGGGTGCGCAGTGCAGCCCCAGAGCAGGTGGAGCTGGTCCCATCACAAGCAGGCCAGGCAGGACTGGGCTAACTGGTGTTTGATGGACTTGGCCTGGCTACTACTCCAACTCTTGCTGCTTCCCACTGTTTGTATTCTGCTTGTAAACACAAAGCACAGTGAATGTCCATTCCTAGCTTTTGTCTTAACATTTAATTTTGCTTCTTGATTTCCCTGCAGCCTCCCTCTCCGATTCTGGGTGAATGTAATCAAAAACCCCCAGTTCGTGTTTGACATCCACAAAGGCAGCATCACGGACGCCTGCCTCTCTGTGGTGGCTCAGACCTTCATGGATTCCTGCTCCACCTCGGAGCACCGCCTGGGCAAGGATTCCCCCTCCAACAAGCTGCTGTACGCCAAGGACATCCCCAGCTACAAGAGCTGGGTGGAGAGGTGAGTGGGTGCTGGGCTGGCTTGGGCGCTCCAGCCCTGCCCGACCTCCCGTGCCGAGCAGTTTGGCTCTCGGAGGCCGATGGTGTGGGACGGGGGCTCTGGCACTGACCCAGTGGCACCGCGCAGCCCTGCCGAGTGTCACTGTGCTTATTTTTGGCTCGTTACAAACCAGGGTCCTGTTTTGCTGGACGTAAGCACAAAGCAAAACGATGTCCTTGTCCCTGCAGAGCTTAGTTTAAATCCCAAGGGGAAAAAGGGCACTTGGAGCCTCCCGTGTTTCTCATGGCCCTTCCTTTGCGCAGGTATTACGCAGACATCGCCAAGCTCCCGGCCATCAGCGACCAGGACATGAACGCCTACCTCGCCGAGCAGTCGCGCCTGCACTCCGCCGAGTTCAACATGCTCAGTGCGCTCAACGAGATCTACTCCTATGTCAGCAAGTACAGCGAAGAGGTGGGTGTCCCCTGGGGCGTGGGAGAGGGGTCACGCTCTGCGAGGTAGTGGGTTGTGCGGCGACCCCCTTGCTGCCACCCCGCAGAGCTCCGTCCTCGACACAGTACCGCCAGAGCTTGCGCTGCTGCTGCCCTGCTGCTGCCCTGCTCTGTCCTCTTCATGCACAAATTGGTTTGGGTCCTGGCCGTGCCTCTAGCATACTTCCCAAGGGATTGAGAGCTAAAATATTGTGGGAGCAACTGCGTTCCTCAGCCTTGGTGTATGCCCAGCGCAGCCCGCTCCTAACGGCCACGGCAAACCATCATGGCCCACTGAAGCTTCCCAGAAACATCCCTGTCTTTTGGGAGCGGCACGGTGCAAATCCCATGTTGCAGTGACACAGACTGCTGTTTGCACAGCATCCCTGGCAGCGTGAGCTCCTTTAACGAATGCATCACTTGAAACCAAGTTCTCGCCATCTGTTCCACCCCTTCATTTCAGTGTAAGAAGAACCTATTTTGCAATTATGGCCATTAAAAGGAAGGGTTTTGTCATTTAATTGCATGTATGCATTTGTCATACAATGCCACAGCTATTTTCCGATTACGGTTTAAAAACCTCATAACTTTCGTGCTAAATGAGACAAAAAAAGTGGAGTCCAGAGTACAGGAGCGGGAACGATCGTGCCGTGTGGGTAGCACGCACCGGGCAGTCCGAGACATCCACGGGCACGGCGAAGCACTCGTCGCATGGCTTTGCCGTTCGTTAAGATTCACACATCCACGTTTAATCTTGCTGCCCACCCACCCCTTCCACACCCTCTCACACACTGCTTCTTTCTCTCCTTTCCTCCCTGTTTACTTTTCCTGTACCAGCTCATCGGGGCTCTGGAGCAGGATGAACAGGCACGTAGGCAGCGTCTGGCATACAAAGTAGAGCAACTTATTGGTGCCATGTCTATTGAGAGCTGAAGAAAGGTCGCGGTGCTCGCGGACGGCAAAGGGCAGAGGATTGCACGAACTCTCGGGAATTCAGAGGGAGAACAAGCAAGAAAGGCTCTGGACACAAATAAATACCAAGGCTCTTCTGGAGGGAGCAGAGACTGGCCCAAGGACTGACTGTGTTCATACAGGATCCGGTTGGAAAAGGCAAGAGGAGAAAAACACAAAGCATCTCAATCAAAGTCAGATCAAGATGGATCATTTTTTTTGAGTATACATGGAAACAAGGAACCTGGAAAGTCTGGATGTCTCCATGACTGCTGCTTTGCATGAAAATTGTTTGATGTATATTAGAAAATAAAACTTTATTTAAAGGGTTTTTTTTTAAAAAAAAAAAAAAAGGAAAGAAAAAGGGTTAAAAAAATAGAGCAAAAACCACAGAGGCCACAGAGAGAATCCTGGCAACAAGTCTCAGCTCTGAATCCTGTCCTCGAGAGAATCCCGAGGATGCGGCTCAGGCGTTCTGCGAACGGACTCTTAAGCCAATTGGAAAGTCTGGAAATCCGAAATTTTCTTCTTTTTGGGATCTTATAAGAAATGTGAGCACAAGTTTGCACCACACCTTTTTACACAAGTAAAATAGCAGTTTAGCCAGAAAATAGTTCAGTGGCTGAATAACTTATAGGCACTCGAAGGAACTTTTATCAGAATTGCAAAACCATCAGATCGTCCAACCTGTCTTGAAATCCAGCTTTATCTATGTATTTATAGTGTCAATATATATCTATTTTTTTTAAATCCCATTTACTGTTGAACGAGGAGAGGTCTGATTTTAAACGCTTTCCCCTTTTCCGGCCCCGTCCCGCCGGGCTGGGCACTCGTGCCGGCGGTCGTGCCG